AGGGCATGGTTGATCTGTTACCAGCGGACATGGGCGTGCCCACACTAATTCAAGGCTTAGGCGCATGGTGGGAGACCCCAAGAGTGGTTCCCACCATGTGACAGAGAACCGCTGTGCCCCAAGAGGTTTTCAAGGGCTGTTTTTTAGTTTCGCTTTTTGGATACAGACAGCCAGACCTTTCTTCCCAGGTGCCTCTAAGTGGATTTGAACCGCCGACCCCTTAGCTGAGTCCATGGACTGTTTTCTGCATATGCTATCCTGTCGTTCAGTGAACTTTCTTCTCTATTCAGCCACTTGGGGTGACGTTTACCTGGGAGGGTTTAGGGACACGTCGCTAGACTGATGGGAGTTTTGAGCTAAATGGGAGAGCGGTGTCCCGCAGAATGCCTCTCTGTCAACGTTGAAGCAGTCGTGCCCACGTCCCAGACTGGGGTCGGAAGTTGGGTGTCAGACGCGCGTCAACGTTGTGATGGATCCAGACGGTCCTGGCCACACCCCAAAGTGCGCCCAAACAGGGTGGCTTTTTGCGGCACGGGAAGAGAAGACAACGGGCCCCTTTGGTGTTAAAGATAAAGAACCTAAAACACCATCCCACAGCCCGCGGGTCAACTGCCATCCTAGTGGCCTGCGATGAGGTTTTCCCCGACCGACAATATCTGCCAGGGCTGCTGTGGAGTTGGAAGCGCCAACCTCGATGTTAGCTGCCCCGTGCTGGTCCCTCAGCGCCACGAATGTTGATGGCAGGGGCGGTTGAGTGGGTCCCAAGGCAGTGCCATGTCCATGCGGCAGGACAAAACATCCCCGCGTCCCACGCCAGCCTCACAGTTGTTCTCATGTTGGGGCCAGGGTTGCAGCCACACTCAGTGTCCATCCGCCTCGTGCAGGGCCTTCTACTTTCTCATGGCCCCGAGCAGGATGCGCTTCTCCAGGGACTGGTTGGGGGTGTCCCGATGAAGTTCCGTGGGACCAGGCATGTTCAGAGCGTCTGTGCCTTTTCCCCTTGGCACCCCTGGGCCCCTGGCCTAGGGCAGTCTGTGACAGTACCTCTATGAACCACAGCAGGCCCCACGGCATCCTCAGGGGGGCCACTGGGAAGCCACCGTACCAAACACCGTGTCTTCACTGAGAACAGTGGTTCTCAACCTTCCTCCTGCCGCGACCCTTTCATACAGTTCCTCATGTGGTGATGACCCCCCCAACCATAAAATGATTTTCCTTGCAACTTCCTCACTGTCATTTTGCTACTGTTATGACTTGGGTGACCCCTGTGAAAGGGTCGTTTGACCCCCAAAGGGATCAAGACCCACACAGGTTGAGAACCGCTGTTTCAGAGCTTTTTAAAACTTTCTCTCTTCCCCTGGTTCTCTCCTTTAACTTAAGAGGGATACTGAGTTTATCTTTGTGTCTCTAGGACCGGGCACCCCATCTAGCCCCGGAGGGAAAGTTCCTTCAAAAGTCAAATATGCTTTTAAATTGCTCTCAATCCTCATCACCTTTCAGGAGATACTGCCATTGCTGTTGTTCAGTGACCTTGAGTCAGCTCTGACTCCCGGTGACCGGATGTGCCACAAAAGAGCACACACCGCCGGCCCTGCCCCATCCTTACAGTGCTTCCTGGGTCTGAACCCGTGTTGTAGCCGCCACGGCAGTCCGTCTCCTCGACAGCCTTCCTCTGTCCAACTGACCTCTCCTTCATGAAGCACCATGTCCGTCTCCAGGCGCTGGTCTCTCGGATCACGTGTCCAAGCACAAGTCCTGCCAGCCTGGAGTCTAAGGAGCATCTGCCCGCACTGCCCCCAGGGCTGATGTGCTTGTTCCTCTGGCCACCCGCGGCACGGCTAGGCCCTTCACCACCTCCTCCTCCACCTCC